CATGTGGATCCGCTCTGCGTTCATGTCTGCATCCTCCGTCCCTCGCAGCACTTTATCCACGACTGAGGGATAGCCTTGATGCCGTAGTGCAGGGGTCGGCAACAGGCAGAGACCGTGGTGCTCATTAAAAGTGCCAAAAACGCCACTATGAGACAAAACACAAAGTTTTTGACCAAACATTCCCTCTCAAGTCAGAACTGAGGTCACAAAAATAAGCAGTCTCAGAGCCCAATATGATCAGTCCACCATGGATCAAAATTAAAACTAAATATCGTTCCAGCGCAGGCTAACCAAGGCTAACCAATAAGCACCTGCATGTGTATGAGAACGGCCCTGACACCATTTCAGCCCAGCTTTACCAACTCCTGGCAGGACAAGCTCGAGCTCAATTTTCTCACTGAATTAAAACAAAGTGAGTGAGGGACTACAATATAAGAGGGAAAGAAAGAGAAACTTTAAAACTGTTCAATTGTTATGATGTGTAAAGAGTGATATTGTTCTATAATCGGCTGAAACTGTTAGGCCCTGATGTGAAACGGTTAACAAAGAAAAAGGGAAACTCAAGCTGCTGCTACACTTTATTCATCTAAAATTAAGCACTTTTAAGATGCACATATTTTCAAAAGCTATTTTATTTATTTTCTCCTATTTTATTTTTAAATGCAGCCCGAGAGGAACATTACACATATCCACAGTATTTTACTGTATATCTGTATAGTTCAATGTTAATTGACAATAAATATTGTTGTTTATGAATTGTACTTTCTTTATTTGATTGGCAGTCAGTTGTTGATTACATGCAGACGTTGATAAAGCTACAGGCTACTTCAATATATATCACATTACTTCATAAAGCAACTTAGACATTTTGATGTTCCGGACCTTTGCATGGGGAGATTTTCTCTAACTGGACCTCGTTGAGTTTTTGTTGAATACCACTGGAAGTTGTCCAATATGGCGGACCATCTCGCACATGCGCAATGTGGATCGGGTAGGGATGCGGATCGGGTAATCACTGTAATCTCCACATGTCTACCCTACTTTTATAATTTTCGAATCATAAATCCATCAATCATAAATCTATCGATTGGATTTATGATTAGAATTTTATAAAAGTAGGGTAGACATGTGGAGATTATCAAGCTTCCTGAATTATTTTCAGCTACTCTACCTCAAAGTAATTACACGCAACACCACTGACCCTTCTTCCGAAAATACACTTTTTAGTAACTTATAACATTGATTTCTATTCCATTAATGTATGTGCCCACAAAGTGGACATGTACTAGAATTGAATGTTCTATTTTAAATTTCAGATGATGTTCACTCTCAGGTTGGAGACATTACATTACATTTTACTTGTTAGATGCTTTTATCCAAAGCGACTTACATACTCAATACTGTGGGCAATCCCCACAGGAGCAATTTGGGGTGAAGTGTCTCAGGGACACAACGACATGCTGACTGCAGTGGAACTCGAACTTGCGACCCCCTGATTCAAAGTTCAGCGCGCTATCCACTGAGCATTTAACATTTAAATTGAATCGTATTTTTCACAACTATAGGTAAAGCATCAACGTTGTATGAGAACAGCGTAAACATCACACAATTGAGTACACTAGTTTCTCACATGAAGGTTTTCCCACTATGTAGACTAACCCTGACCCTAACCTCAACCCTTCACAACGTTAGTTTCAAACTTTCCACATTAAGTAACCATTTTGGCTTCGTTCCATTGTCTGCCAATACATTTTAGGATTCATTTCCAAATCCTTTTATTTACTTTTTAAATCCCTAAACGGCATGACCCGACCATATCTTTCTGAGCTGCTACACCCCAGTACAACTGCTCCTGAATGTGCCCAGAACCATGGTCTAAGCTCAGAGGGGACCGTTGCTTCTCTGTAGCGGCTCCCACACTGTGGAACGTTCTGCCCCTGCATATCAGATAGGCCACCACACTGTGTGCTTTTAAAGCGCTTCTTAAAACACACCTCCTCTCCTTAGCGTATTGACATCTTTTAGATTGTTGCTTTTATTGCTTTTAAATTGTATATTGTTTTTACTTGTTTTATAGTATGTGAGCTGTGCTGTGTAATTTTTTTGCATGTTTTTGTTTGTTTATTTGACTGTACAACACTGGTCTGGAGGTTTTAAAGTGCTTTATAAATAAAGCTGTATTGTATTAAGGGCACACATCATTGGCACTGAGCTTAAATTGTAAAATGCAGAATTGAACTATATGAATTAAAAGAAAAATGATGCCTGTGTCATTCATCCCAGCAGCTGGGCAAAAATAAATGGAGTCTTTGGGATAACAAACCAGTGACGTCTAGACGCACACTCTGCTCTCCCTAGGTTGCAAAATGTAAACAAACACACTTGTTCAGTGCCTTTTTATTTGGCATTAATCCTTAATTTAAGACTGAAAGCTCAACAGTTATGCCTGTAAAATGCAAGCCTGCCAGGAACCTGTGTAGACAGCGCATACATTACATTTAGAGTGCATCTGTTGCATGAGACGTGCTAGAAAGAGACATAGACATTGCATCATAGCCATTATTTACTCAAAATAAGAGACTCTGAATAGACACTAGGCTGAAGCAAAGCATGTAACACTTGTCCTGCACAAACCTATAAAGGGAAGGTAGTGAGATTATATTATATTGGAGCAAAAGGTGTGCATTTTGTCAATCCTCTCTGTGGCTTTTTAAATGTCTAAACATTGTATTGTCTGTGTAACGTCAAACTATAAAAAAACCTGCACTGAAAAGTACTTAAAATAAATAATTGCGGTGTAATTACTACAGGGACACATTAGCTGTCATATTTAAATGGACACAAGGGGGCGCAGCACCAACACATTGACAGCCTGTGTGAAGAGGAGACAGTCGGTGGTGATGATAAGTTTGCCTCTGCTTTGCGTGTGTTCCCTGTCAACTACTGCAAACTGATAAAGGATTATTACGTGAATCCCTTTGACTCAAAATGTTCTTTTGCATAATACCAAAAGATAAATACTGTCTGTGCGTACAATTTAATGAAATGTGAATCCATCCGACCGGTTAAATTAAATTACATTTATAATATGCATTAATGTGTGTGGTCTTCACCTACTAATGGTGCTGCTGCGTGTGCACCAGTGGCGTCGCCTGGCCTGGGCATTCGGGGCTTTAGCTTTAATCTGATTTGGACGCATCTGTCAGAGGTGGAAATTAACAAACTACATTTACTTAATCTTGGTTTTAGTGTGGTTTTCAATAGTACAGCTGGCACTTAAAAAGCAAATTAACATTGTGTGAACATTACAGTTGTACTGTAAGGATGTAAGATGTAAGGAAAGCCATGGCCGAGTCGAATTTTTTCCAGAGTCTTTCTAGCTTTTATGGCTTTACTCTTTCCTGACATAGTGCCAGAGAGTCCAATTCTGGACAGGTTAAACCAGTCAGACGAGCAGCGAATACACAGCCCACAATAAGAAGCAAACAAGAGACCTAATGTGTGCACAGGTGGCACCATTTGGTTAAAAAGTATTGCTGTCACCATCAGAGAGTATTTGCATTGGTATTCAAAGTGAATTGTAAGAAGAAAAATAAGAAAGAAAGAAAGTGTATCTTGCTGGGCAAAGCTTGTAGACCTTTAAATGATACCTAACATAAATAAGAACAGATGATATGAATAAATTATATAGTAAAAGTTATGTTTAATTAGGAATTAGGCCAAATGCAATCTTCGGAAAAAGGGTTACGTTAAGACTTAACAGAGTGATAAACAAATAGTTATTTGTTTTATTTATACTTAAACAAAACTGTTTACGTTTTTTCTTTTTCTTTTGATATACACCTCCAAAAACCAACCCGGTATCACGGCAAGACGTGAACATGTGACGATTGGTCGCCAAAAACACATCCACATTTTACATTTCCACTGTGTTTCCATGTCAACTTTTCAAACTCCATCTCAAAGGATGATAATGGTCTGAAGGGGTATAAGAGGACCTTTATTAATATAACATAAAGGAACACCACTTCTTACTTCGTGTGTGAAACGGTAAGAAAAAGACATTATGGTTTTGCAAACATTTCGTGTAATAACATCAGTTTATTAGTTGATATACATAATACAACCACTAGCTTGAAAAAATATATAAATATGTTGTATGTGAAAACAAATGTTTTACTAAAATTCAAAAGCTAATCAAAATAAGAATTTCATAAATTACTTTAACAAAAAAATGTTTATATAAAACTTTTGAAAATATTTAAACAAAACAATGTTATAGTCTTTGTGTATTTTCATATTTTGAGAGATTTTGTGTCCTTGCCAGCCTGAAGCGGACACCGGTTGCCCCCGAGGGGCAGACAAAAATAAGGTCATGTGATGAATCACTTCAAATCAATTGTTTCTGCTCATTCTGCAGTATAGTTCAGTGGTTAAAGCAGGCAGTCCACATCCAGATCATTTTGGGCTGTATATTAAAAAATCTGTCTGGCCATGAAACATCATTCAAAAAATAAGACGTTGCTTGACCACATACTCCATTTACCTTTTCTGATAAGCTCCGTGTATTCGTTTTATGTGTCGATAGTAAACCTCCAGGTTACAGGATGTGAGTCAGTGGAGTGTCACCTCCTCTCTCACCCAGAGGGAGTCACGTGTTGAAACTCCAGACGCACCTGCAGCCTGAGAGCCCGCCCACATACCTGCGAGAAACAGGAAGTGAGATTTTGCAACAGGCAAAACCAAAAAAGCTACCAAAAATCTCCCCCCCACCCCCTCTTAAACCCTAACCGTGTCCCACATTCTTCACATCCACCTTTTACTTTTCGGATTAAGCTGCTCTGGTCACACAGAAGCAGGAGGCATTCGGAGTTTCACCTGGTGAGTATCTTGTTTTGTTCGCCCTGAATGTCGACATGTTTCAGCCCTGTTTCCTCGCGCTCATTGCCATATTAGGGCATTGGAATGGTGCCTGCTAAAGACATATAGGTTTACTTGGTCAGATAAAGTGACACACAACACGTTTAACTCGCTCTTAAAGGCAGTGTTTTATTTTCGCTTTTATCTTAAATTGTTTGCTGAACGCCAAAGTGCTCCAGTGTGTTCAGGCCTCAGTGTGTGTGTTATGCATGCATTGTATGCCTCAGGGTAAAAACACTAGAGCTGCACTAGAGGCGTTAAATGGGGCTGGGCTAGCATTGTATTTATATGCTATTGTGTATTGTGAGGGTTAGCAGACGGTGCCAGCCAAGTTCCCTTTAGTGAAAACGTATTTTGAGTATCCCATCCAAAAGTAAGTCTAGGCTAAAAATGTTTTAAAGGGAGTAAGCATTAACTTGTCAATACTTTTTCTGGAGATTTCACTTTTCCTTCTACTTGGCTAATATGTCATAGTAGCTACATAAATCAACTTTATTATATAGTATATAGTTATTGATTATGTTATGTATTGACTAATCATTCAGGTGTCAGTTATTTTTGCTTTAAATATATACAAAATACTAAACCATGTTTAATGTTTTTGTTAAGTGGTACTCTCACACTTTCCCAAATGTTTGCGAAATGTGCAAATCCAGACAAATCTTTAATTTTGATCAAGGCAATGGTCCTTTTCATTCTAATGCCTTTCAATTGCACCATTTCCACTTTAACCCTTGTACTAAGTTCTTGGGAAACACAGGAAACACCTGATGAACATCAGAGAGGGAGGAAGGAAGTTCGTGAGCCACTATATTGTTTACCAGATTTGCTATTGCTCAATCTGGATGGAGATAGTATTGCTTAATGCTATTGCTTAATAGTCATTGTTTTTTCTGGTTTTATTAGAGTTTACAGAAATACTATAGAGTTGGCTTTGATGTGCTTTCTTATGGCCGGGTTTGACCAGTGAGTGGCAACTATACTTTTGTTGAACCAACTTTGCAAGGTTTGGATAAAACTTCAACACATCTAAGATGTCGCCCCTTGTCATGTAGGATGTATGCACTGGATGACCTCATCAAACATATTGTTTGCAATACAATTAGCAATAGGGAAATGAAGCAAGATTCACCTTTGCTGTAAATCAGGCCTATTCAGAGGAAAGCAACAGTGATTTGGATGAGCAGAGATATCACCGTGTTCCATGGGGTTCAACTCCTCATTAAGGTCACTCATTAATCCCCTCCCTCCCCACTCTCATCACAGATTTGTGAGTGGCATGTGTCCCTCCATCTGGCTCGCACATGCCTTGCCTATGGACATTGCATAATGGCCCTTAGTAATGCAGTGATACTGTGCCACAGCAATATTGGGGCAAGTATCAAGGGCCAAAGATACAAACTGCTTACGTAAAATAATTAAGACGAGCAAACCGCTCCAGCCACATCTTCTTACCCTGTGGAAAAAGAAGGATGAAAAAGAAGCCATTCTCATTAAAAAGTGAAAACGATCAGTGATAAAGGAATCAGGCCAAAGAGTGAATCCTTTTCCTTCTTTCATAATTTAAATATGAGGCTTTTTTAAACCGTAAATGGAGAGGAGATTTGACAGAGAAAAGAAATATGCATTTTGCCTATCTAAAACAATGTGCCCGATATAAAATAATATAGCTTGACTGCATAGTAATATACAAATTGTTCCTGCCTATGTAGGACAAAAATCTCTTCAAGGTTTTAAAAGATTAAATGGTGCATGTTGTAGTTATAAAACTGCACCAGTAGAGCCAAGAAGCTTAACATTTGTTCCAAATCTTGGATATCAAATGGCTACTATGGTGTCACCATCTATCCAAACCATCCATTTGTACTGCCTTATAAGTTGCTAATGTTTGAGTTTGGTGCATGAAAGCGTGCGGTAAAATACTATAAAGAAGAAGTTGTATATGTGCTTAGTAAACCATAACCCTTACCATTTTCACCAGGATTGTAATTGTTGAGAGTGCAGACTGAAGCAGATGGCTGTACTTATGTGGTAGTTGAGCACAGATCTGGCTGTGTTGTAATGCCTATTGAAGACTGTTTCGCCCATAAAGCTGTTATGGTTTTGGTCTCTAACCACAAATGAGAGAAATATCTGGATTTTTAGATTCACTTTCTTGACTAGCTACTAGCTAGTTACTAAATGTGTCTGGTGTTTGGCCGGGAGTGAACAGTGGGTTTATCAGGGCAAGTTTGCAATAAATAAGGTTGATGACTGAACACTGAAACTGAATCAAACAGTTTATGTACCATAAAATGAAAACCTAAAAGAGAAAGAATGCTTATAAAGTTGCAGTGTTGAAGAAAATTCTCAACTTGCTCAATTTTTAATGACATTGTTCCAAAAGTTTGCTTTTACACTTTTTTAAGGAGAGCGAGTAACCCATAGTATTTAAACATTAGGATGACATATTGGGAAATATTCTTGCAGAGACTTAGATTAAAAATGTGTTACAATTGATCTGTTTGCATAGTGATTTTTGTAAGCTTAAACAGATCAACATTCCCTGACACATATCTATTTTATATTGCTATGAAAAAATCTCCTTCCAACAACTTCTTTTATTTAGGTTTCTAAGCAAAAATGAAATTTTTACAAAATGATGTATTTGTACACACAATGACAGCGTTACATATAATTCACTTTTCCCAATACAAACATCTCTGATTACAGCTTCAACCTATCATGATTAGGTGATCGATGCAACCTCTGTTAACGTTGGTTGTTTTCTCAGATTTTAAGCTAAGTAGAACTGTGCTGCTCCCTGTCTGCAAAGAGCTAACATTAACTAGATCACTTCCTGCTGATATCAACAGGGATTGGTTGTTCACAATGTAGCATTATCAGGAAGAACAGGGACGATGTTCGTCTAGTGCCCTATTCACTGGTACCTGTAGAAAAGGATTTTTGTTTTCAGAATGTTGGCAACATATTGATACCAAATAATTTGTTCTGGTAACACCCCGAGTTGCTCACACACATTCATTGTGTACCTTTGCATGTTGTGTTTGTGCGCACGTGTATCCGTGTGTTGTTTGCATCCCCCCCACACAATCGTTCTCCTCTGTCTACACACAGTTTGGGCAGGATAAGTGTTCTCTGAGAGATTACTGTAAAGTGTTGGATTATGATAAAAGCGCCGGTGAATGTCATGCTGCAGTTTGAATGCTGCACACTTCAATGGTTTGGTTTCCACACAAGGCTCCTAAGCTTGCCTCCTCTGACAAAGACAACACACAGAGGGTGAACTTAAAAAACCTCTCTCCTTTTTGTTTTCTTCCTCCTTTGTGCTCCACGTTTTTAAAAATAGACGCTTTGTATTTTGTGTCTCCCTCGCTGTGCTCAGGGTATTGGAGTGCTTAGGGATTTCTGCTGCTGAGTAAAATCTGCAGCAGCTCTCATGGCACGACCATCCAGAGCCATAATCCAGACTTTCAAACTGCTGGAATATAAATCCCGTCCGGAGTTTGCATTGGCTAGCCGCTCATCAAGAGGCCACAGAGCATATTTATTTATTTATTTCAGACCTCTCAGGACATTGCGGCCTGCTGTTGACCCGGAGATGACAAGATGTAGACTTTTAATCTTTGCTGCGCCTTGGCGTGCACACTGAGGGTTTGCACAGAGCGGGAGTGGATAAAGAGCGCTTCTTATCAGGGAAAAGGATGCATTAAAAATAATAACAAAACCATTGAGTGATTGCAAAACATATGGTTATCAGAATTTGAACAACCTTACCCAAGATATGTGCTGACAATGGTTCATTGCTGTGTGATACCACCAAGTTACCATATTAAATGATGAATTGAATAATATTAAGAAATTACAGCTGTGAAACAAAAAGGCAACGTTTGGCCAGAGCTATCCCATAAACTTGAATATTCAGGAGAGAGTCAAATTGGTATTCCATTCTATGTTACTTGTTAGACGCTTTTATCCAACGCGACTTACATACTCAATACTGTGGGCAATCCCCACAGGAGCAATTTGGGGTGAAGTGTCTCAGGGACACAACGACATGCTGACTGCAGTGGGGTTTGAACCTGTGACCCCCTGATCCGAACACCAACGCACTAGTCCACTGCGCCACATGCCTCCCTCTTATTAATCCGCTCCTGTAAATAGTCCAATCAAATGCACTATTAATAGTTGTTTGAGTATTGTTGTAAACAAGTATAATGTCCAGCTGTCGATAAAAAATAGTGCCTTTTTTTCTTTTCAAGCCAAAAAAAAGGAAACAGATGAGTTTTTTTTCATTGATTACGACTTCTGAATATTGTGATAGGGATCAACATATTGTCGGTCTTTATTTTGTGATACCCTTATCAGTATGAAGCAACACAATTTGTATTTTGTTTCACAGCATCAGCATATACAGTCGGGGGTTTAATTATTAACACTCCCCATTCAGAATATGTAAAATTATCTGGAGAGAGTGGATTTAAAACTAAGCTTGCACAAAATCAGTACATCGCTCTGAGAACGTTTTGCAATCAGTCCTTTTCCACATTCAAATCTTGAAGTGCAGATTGAATACAGCTTAGAAGTGTTGAGTTGTAATTGTGTCGTTAATACATCTCCGTAAGGGGTTAGTGGAAGCATGCTGTGTGAGGATGTAAGGGTGAAGAAAATGGGTCTGTCCTGGTGTAAATGGCGAGAAGACTAAGCCTGGATGGGGGGGATTAAAGGGAAAGGGGCGGGTAGCATATTATGATCTGTCAGGGCTTAGTACCACAATTATCCCAGCAGCAGCAGCAGCAGCAGCATTGGTGGTGACAGAGGTTGCGATTTCATTAGTGTTATGTCCAAAGATCTCCAGAATTACGTAAGAGTGACGCGCACTCATCGTCTCTGGGCCGGCCCACCGCCTGGCAGGAACGTGGCCGTTTGTTTTCCTTTTATCCTCCCTCGCTCAGACAAAAAAGCCAAAAGGACATCTGTCGGAGTCGGCGGTCGGGAACAGGAGTAGTAGGACCTTTGTGCTCCGGGTGCTGAAACTGTGGCCTGTTGCCATGTAGAGAACAAAGTCTTGATGCTGTGGGAGGAGATGAGCATATGTGGAGATGTTTAAATCCACCTCTCGGTCTAGCACTTTTTTTAGAAGATGACTGATGGAAGTGTAGCAGCAGTCAGAGCAGCGTGGTGTTGCCGTTAGAGGACAGTCAAAAGATGAAGTTCAAGAAATTCATCACCATCATGCAGGCGGCCATTGGGATTGTACCCCTGAACAAACGGGAGCTCTTGCCGCCCGGCAGGAAACTGTGGAGACCCCTTGGGTGAGTTAGAGTTAGATCTCTGTGACTGTGTGTCGTTCCCATTTAGAGAGCCATTTAGAGAGCCTGTGCATAGTAGTCGTAGTAACCTGCATGATGTAACAGCTCCCCTGTGATTTCTAATATCTACTTCTAAATCCTGTTGTTTCAGGAAAGTGTGGGTACCTTGTGCCATGGAAGCAATAGATAGAAAAAAAACAGAATGACTTCTTGGGCTTATGCAGATAGTTTTGGTTTATATAATTGAAGTAGAAGTATTTTGGGAGTCGTCCAACTTTGATGAACTTTTCATAATCAGTATATTTTGACTCCCAAAGTGTTCAAATCTAACTCTTTATTTGGAGTTTATATTTTACACTTTTGACAGTGTTCAGAGAACACCAAACTCTTGGACCTATATACACCCGAGACTGGTGTTAAATGTACTCTTCTAGAGCACAATGTACACTGTGGTTTTTGCTGTGTGAGTTCTTCTAAATATTTGAACATAAAGGTTTCAAGGATGTAATACATTGCTTGACTGACTGCTTTGCTACGCTATATCTTTGAGGTTATAGTTACCCTGTTTTGCATCAGGGTTGGCTGTTCTGATGATTTTAGATTGTGATACATCTCAAAGGCATTCTTTACCTAGTTTCCAGACAAATGGTATAGATGATGGTATTTATACATTGTTACCAAGCTTCACATAACCTTGATTATCAAATCAGTGCTACATTAATTCGTTTTTGGAGCTCGACCTATATAAGGGACTAAAAGTTTGATTCTTGGTGATTGGATCTAGTGCTAGTCACCCAACTCTAAGGAAGTGCCAACATGAATTGCTTGAGTAAACTTTTATTGGGAAGTTATAGGTGCAAACAGTCAATACCAATGTTTTTCTCATAAAAAATCATACCAAGCATCCAAAACTGGCCCCTCAGTCTAAATCCCTCTTTCATTTCCTTGATTGAAGTTAGGTATGTCTTGGATTACTTAACTTGTTCTTGGAGATGCTGAGCTGATCCTACAAGTCTATGTTTAATGTGTAAGGGGCAGCAGGTTTAGTCATGCAGAGGCAATCTGATTGTATCCAGTTACCCCATCTGAATGAATCAGAAACCTCCAATCTGGCTCACTGACATGAAGAACAGATACAACGTTGTTTCAGTTTGATAGAAAACGCCACATGTAGGGACATGTTAGCAATCAGGTTGGACTGAGATGCTGCTCTTGAAGTGAGGCTGCAGATTATCGTATTATAGTCAGTAGTATCAGTGTTAGCCGGGTATCCTCTGGCTTTACTCGGAGCCATACACAGTTGGCTTAGTTCTGGGAAACGTGGCCTTTTATAATCTATTTATAGGTCAACTTTTTCATAGTCTGCTCCCTTGGTAATTGAAATATTTGGTTTATATTTCCTCAGCAGTGAATGTTTGAGTTGTCATAATGGAAGTTGAAAAATGTATGTGGTAATCTTCTTTGTAAAAGTGTGTGGTCTGGTGTCTTACTTAAGTGTGCAAAAGATTACATAATAAATTAAGAAAAAATGTGGTCTTACCATCCCGAAGCCCAAGTTCACGTCTTTAAATTGATATTTGTTTCCGCCCAAACATGGAGGATTAACAATTACATAAAAGAGAAAAGCACTCCTGAAATATGTCTAAAACCTAGAAAATTACCATCAACTTTGCTTAAAAATTATATGGTGCCTCCAGAATACCCATCCTGACTTTTGTAACATTTCCTTCAGCAAGACCACAGATTTCTCACTTATCCATCCAAATAACCAAACATCATTTTGTAATTCTTTATTTTTCATGGAGCTCAGCCCTTCCTCTAATGACAGGCTTGTTGAGTGATCCCACTGAACCTCATGAAATGTGTTCACACATTCAGGATTAAATTGTAATCACTTTGGTGATCCCTTAGCTTTTCATCCAACACCATCAGGTTAAAGTTTGTGTGCTACTTTGATTCATGACCAAATCCCTGCAGAACTAAGAACACTCCTGTCAGCCTCAGCTGTATCTGTATTAAGAACTTATTAACACATGACAGCATGCTAACAAGGAAGCTAACAACTGAGCAAACATGTTGGCAATGTTGACATTAGCATTAAGCTTAAAGAACTGCTGTGCCTAATTACAGTTAGAGGCAAACTTTATAATGTTGATGTTGTTGCTTGAGCTTAATATATGTTTAAAACATTTTGCTCTGTATAGGAGTTTGGATTTTAATAACTGTACCAGTGTCCACAATGTGATACTAAATAAGCAGATTTCATGAAACCTGCTACAAATGTGTTTTCCATCACAGTTTGACAATGTGTTATCATAACATGGCATGGCATAGCATAGGGCAGATGTATATGAAGAGTTAAAAAAAAATGAAACACTTTTGCGTAACTAAACCTTTTTACATTGGAAGGGTAGAAAATACTACTACTGTGGTTTTATACATGATTTCTAGGAAAGGGCTAAAACTAGTAAATTCAGTATGGTGTAACATGTATTAGTTGCACATTAGTGTACACGTCTACAAATCTGCACTTAAATAGATAATCCAGTGATTTAGTATTGCACTTGCATAAAGTTTGCAGACTCAATTTATATTGAAATTCGCAAACATGGAGCAGAGGCAGACACATGTTGACTTTTAGTCCCAAATATTAGCTTGACCCTTCAAGAAAATGGCATCCTACATTTCCCATAATGGACAAATATAAGTCTTTCATTAGTCTCACTGTGTTGCTTCTTTAAAACAACTTTTAGCACTGCTTTCTCTTCTCATTTGTAGCAAAGCAGAAACTTGACAAGACTTTATACGAGGCTGAACAGCACTAAAAATGGTGAGTTAACCACCGTGTGAAAAATCTGCAGTGCTACTTAAGAATTAATCTGCAAGATCACAAATATCATGTCACGGCTTGCTTAATAAAAACGTCCTCGTTAATCGGCACTAATACTCTGGACACGCTTGATTCATTGCTCTGTCTTGACAAATATCTACAGAATGAAAGCTGGGTCTTACTGAAATATTATTTGATGTGTAACACACTTGCAGTAACGTGTTCTCAGTTAAACTTGTGTGTCTCTCTCTCTCTCTCTCTGTGCGTAGGGACCAGCCTGGCTCGGACCAGACCAGCACTGACCTCCTAAAGTCAAACTGCAAGTTTCGCTGGTCCAGAGAAGCTCAGTACTTGTATCTTCGCCGGCTCTCCTCACGCAGCTACTCAGCGATTACAATGGTACGTTCTTCACATAATGTTTAGTGTGGATGCTGTGTTTTGGAGAGGCACATAGAGTCTGGTTTGTATGCTTCTTTTGACCTTTTACTGTTTATTTCAGTGTTGAAGGCAACACAATGCAGGCAAAAACAATGTCTCTTTTCTCTAAACTTATCAAAAGTTGACATTAGATAATGCCTCGTGATCATATTTTCTAACATACATTCCAGATAACTTTAAATACCATAAATACTTATTGTCTTGCAAGTAATCAGCTGTTGAAGTTTCATGGTATCTGTTTACACTGCAAGCCCTAGCACTTTATTCTTATTTCTGATGTATTGCTCAAATCAAGTTTCTGTTTAAAAAGTAGTATAAATTCCAATATTAATGTTCAGACTTGGGTCGAATTGCCAAAACTGAGACCTGTATCGGATTCTGAGCCACATATGATGAATTTTTTTGAAAAGATCAGATTCCATGTGAATTGTCCTGTTCACACAGCGAGGGGAATAAACAGTTCACATTTTTAATGACTTTCTCACAATATTTGGTTACATTTGGTAAAACGCTATGACTCTATTATGCCATCAAAATGAAAAAGGAATTTTGAACCAGGCATTATCCAATGTTAGATTTTCTATTCTGGAAATGTATGCAAATTAGCACATGTTAAGTAAGATCATTTCTCACTTGCATAATTAAACATTTGCAAACCTGGCTGCTTCTTTCTGATGCGTTGATGAGTCTGTGTTCCCAGACTTCTTTCCGTATTTGAATACAACTACGCTGACTGCTCCTGCATCCTGGATGATGATTAACCAGAGAGACATGTCATGTCCCGGAAGCTGCATTGTTTTAATGACTTGGTCACAAACATTATTCAGGCCAGTGGAGCTGTTTTGCATTAGAATGGCCTATTTTAAGAAACGTTTCACATTTGTCAGTTCATGGAATGCAGTGTTTTGACTGGATTGACCTGATTTTTCTAAAATGTTTTTGTCATTATATCATTCCTGAAGTGTTGTTGCTTCGAAGTAAAACATTTTGCCAACAGAAAAGCTTTTTTAAATTATTTAAATTAGTGAATATTGACAGGAAATGGTTAAGTTCTACATGTTGTAAAGGATTTGGGATATTTTCCAGTCAGCTGGCATACTTATCTGTGATTTGATAACATACCAGATAAGGGAAGATTTGAATGGAGGGAGTAGATAGTATTAGACACACACGAAAAAACAATAGGTTATTGTGGGACAGCTGCAACCTGAACCTTTGCTTCAGCTGCTCATGTATAAGAGCCTTACATGTCCCACATAGTTCTATAACCTCTATATACATTTGTTGAACTTGAGCTGAGGATGTTCATGGTTTGTGAAACTTAGTTTAAGTAAGAGTACATCCTAATGGTTCAGCACATATAGTCCATAAAAAAAGTTGTTCTCATTTTGTTGTGGAAGAACCTAACTCTTTGGGATGATTTAAAACACTGACTGTGAGCCGGGCCTTATCACTCAACCTCACTGATGCGCTTGTGTCTGAATTGGTAACAAATGCCTGCTTCTAAAATCTGGTGGAAAACCAAAACCAGGAGAGTTGCTGCTGCTAAAAAAGCAGATTGAAGCCCAATGTTTTGGAATGGCTTGGCAACAATCACATACAGTATGGCTTTAATGTTCAATTCAGTGTGCACATACAGTAGGCTATTGTAGTGACGTACTTTCTACAATGCAATACATGTCCCTCCTATTAACCAATATTTTCTAATCAAACAATGACCGGAGGCTTGGTTAAGTTTGGCCCTATTAAATGTATTGATGGTATAAGTGAGAACATATTCTGGTGTTATTTTTTTATATTATTATTTGATGGAGAAAAAAATGGGCCTATGGATTTCATATTTTAATCTCTAGCGTTATCGCTATTTTATATTCATTTAATTAACATATGTTTGGTTGCTGTAAGTATAGGTTACCCAAAATGCATTTAAAATGAATGCCTTTATGAATTGCTTATGTTTTAAAGTGGCGGTCTTTTGATTATGTTCTGCGGTGTGCTGCATTTAATCTGTTGTTGTGCTGCTGTCTGTCTGTCTGTCTGTCTGTCTGGGAGACCCACAGCAGGCTTCCTAAAATCAATGGGAATGTTGGACTGATCCATGTCAGCTGGTGGAGGATGGGGGGAAACCCCCTCAAGACACGAATCTTTAATGTGATTCCCTTTTAACTTAAACTAAATTTAATACATCATTAAATTCAAACGTGATTGATGTTATAACCCGTTGTTTTAGTTTGTTTTTATTAACTACAGTTGTTTTTACAATATAGCCCCCCATCCCCCACCCCCCACCCCCATGCTCTTATTTGGTATAACCTTAGCTAGGAGTCGTCGGCGCTAGTTTTTGCTGTGGATGTCTGATCTCTTTAACAAGGAAACGTGGGATATTTACAGTAAAGTAGGCGAGATTTGTACATTATTAAGACGCTGAAACCATCCGTTTCTTCTGGAAGTTGGCCTGCATCCGAGAAGAAACTAGTTATAGTTACAGTTTTAATTTAGTAGTAGGAGTCCTGGGCAGTTCAAAGTGCGTGATGCCAGTGAAAGGGGGGCTGTCTCTGAGCAGATATGCAACTCAATATTTCACCGTAAGTACCTCCATAACGAAACTCAAAACATTCATAACGAACGAATAATAGCAACCATTTTAGTCCTGTCAAAGAGTGTTGTTGGTATTTTTTTTTTTAAAGAAGTAGCTTTTGGGTAGTTTTCCTGAATCCTTGCTGCCTGTTGCATCCTGCTGCACCTGCTGTGACGTTAAGCTAACTGCTCACCAGTAAGTTCGTTTAGTTAGTAGAAATGGTTCACAATACTGTTTGCAAGTTGTTTTGATAATTGTTATGTATCTGTCGACCGTTCCCGTATTTGCCCGACTTGTCTCATTTAAAGTGCGTATAACGGTAACGTAACGGCTCTTTGGTGGTTTGATTTCCTCTTTTATTACTTCTCTTCTTTTAAGAAGAGCAACAGTAACGGTTGTTTAGCCTGTAGTACATTATAAACGACTAATATCCAAAGTTGTTGTAATGTTTTCATAATTTAATTTACTTTTGTCGTGTTGTTCTTTCTTATGCTTCATGGTGTAACGCCTCTCTGTCAACAGTAGGGGGCAGACTTGTTCAACTTTTCTGTTACTTGCCACAGCAGCGCAGTAAATATTGCAACACTGCAAAATTAACTATACTAGGTTTTGAGTTAAAAACACACACAGTAAATGCTTACAAACTGCTTTCTTAGACATATTAACTGATCTAAAGTATGGTCTTCATATGTCAAAAAGATCTTTAGTTGCACAGCTAAAAACTGGCTCTACCGCTGAGTACTGAGGTTTTGATTTCTGCATCATATACTGTACAATTTCAAAACTATATCAAATGTTTCCTGTAAAAGTACAACACAATGTCAGTATTTAATAATCCAGTTTCCAGATGCCATGGTATTAGGCGCTGAAACTAGTATTGAAAATCTTATAAACAATACCAGCTCTGTGTAAGACCTGAGCTGAAACGATAAGTTGATTAACCTATTAGTCTGCAGAAAATTAATTAACAGCTATTTCTATATCACTATATAATTTGAATCATTTCACATTCTATAGTTTAGGCATCTTCTATGATGATTTGCGCCTTTTCTTTGGATAATAAGACAAATAGGGCAATTGTAAACATCACTTTTCCAACAAACAATTACATAAATAAAAAGTCTGTAAATTAAATGTAAACAATACTTTTTATTTGCAGCTCTACTAAGATTTAAATTGTATTATCTGTCATGAAGTCATTGATGTAAAATTCCTCTTTTATTGTGGCAATTCTCCCTCAGTATTAATTAAAAAATTCACATTATATATTTACATATGAGAACACACTGAAGAGAAAAAAAACTGGTAATTTACATCATGCAAAAAACCTTATTACAATGCATTTTCCCTGGCTCTGACTAAAATCTACCCACTCATTAAATGTTTCTGGTTTAAAAAAAAGCATTGTCTTGTTCTCTAAATAATTTGTTTTCACAGCCCATGAGGATGACCCAGTATTTCAACCTCCCTCCCTGGAAAATGTGTTTGTGTCTTGTTATATAATGGCAAACACTCAGGAGGCTACAACTTATCCAGCAGGCCTGCCTGAGAGCAGCCATCACAATCATAAGACAAAGTACAAGACAGTCCTAAAACTGGATCGGCCTTACACAAAGCAAGTTATTTATCTGACTTTCAGGAGTTAATACGTTTCCTCTGTCTGCTCTCTCTTGAGGCCTTTTTTTGTGCAAAGTGATGTCAAACATATTATATTGATACAACAAAGCGGTTACCTCCCCTGTTTCAATGAAATATAACTTGGAAACAGATTGTTTTTCCATTAGGTTTGTTTGTTTTAAGGTAACATTGAATTTCTTGATAGTCATGTGAAAAGACAGTGACAAATCAAAGATCATCTCTATGCTCAAGGTTCAAGACTTTTATTAGTCATATGTACATAGCTACAGTGTAGTTATGACGATGAAAATCTGTTTGATCCACAGTGCATCGGAAGTGTTCACAATCCTACTGCTTTTTGCTGTCTGGCTGCTGCTCAGTCATCTGGCTTTCCCCTGTAGGCCGGAAAATCAAAAAAGTGGCTTATAATGACGAGTGCTCTGGCCTTATCATGCCCCTGTGTCACTAAGCCTGGACCGCAATGTGAGCAGCACACAGACTTCCCTTTCCACTCAAGTTACCAAAAACTATTTAAAATCCCTTACATTGTGCTGTCTATAACTTAGATGTGTGCTCATGTTTAGTGTCAGTTATTTCTATCTTTGCCGATGTGTGAATCTTTGAAGAATGTTGGATATATCTCAGGGTCTGACTTGTAGTTTGTTTTCATGGACGATAACGCAGGCGATTCATCAGCGCGTGTCTGTGCAGAAGTCGGTGTGTCTGTAATGTTTACCCTGTCTGCAGAGTAGACGGTGGGATTTGTGCTGAATGTAGGCCAGCAGAATCCTTATTACGTCAAAGGCAGGCGGGAGGGCAGATGCAGGAAGAGAGCTGCTGGTGGCTGTGCAGCTGTGGCCATGGAGGAGGCTGTGGCGCACATCAGGCTGCCAGAGCACCGCTGGTGGTGAGCAGGGAGAGACACATAGGAAGAGACGGAGAGCATCAACGATGAAGACCGTCCTCAGCCTGCACAGGAAATGGGCCCACGCAGTCAAGACCATACGTGTACTTCAAGGGCTTGTGAGTTTCGTTCTGTTTGGTGTCCGATCTGTGGTCAGGGCGAGCGTTGTTCAGGTGGATGGACCTATTTGGTGTTTTTAGTTAATTGAGGTGTTTAGGTGAGTTTAGATTTTTGAAATGAGGAATCCAGAATCACAGAAAAGTCAGTGTTTTAAGTTTTATAATCTGTTATCTGAAATAAATGATGGTGTTTTTAGACTGGTAATGGTTGATGCAAGTAATCAAACTGACTCAATGGTACTTTATCTTTTGTTGAGAAGGTAGTTTGTACTTCATAAGGACTAAGGGGTGGGATGGACTGATTGGATTATTGATCTTAGACTTAACAAGAACAAAATAATGCAAAGATGTGTTTTTTTTTATTCTGTTTGACCTTTTTTAAATACTTGTTGGGGTTTTTACTCTTTACTCTAAATTACACACATTTTAGTCAGTTTTTGGGGCGTATTTTTCATCCGTCTTGGCAATCATCATGAGATTGTTATTTTAAATGATAATGAAGGTGAAGTAAACGTTTATTGAGCCCTTGACCTTGCTGAGTTGTCGGTTCCTTGGTTGTTCATTTTAGTATGCGTGTATCTGATGGTTCATTTATGTAATCTTCTGGTGAACTCTGCCAGAAAAAACAAACACTTAACCATGAATTATTTTTAAGTGCTTGTTAAAGAAAGCTAACTGATGTCAAGTGTTCTCATCAATAATGTAATCCTCGAGTCAGAGGTTTATTTGTCAAACTTGTTGTTTTGAGGTCAGCCGAGGCCCGTCATTATTGTTCTGGGAGCTCCTGCTGTGTTAGGACATCCCAGGCTAATGAACTGGCTTTGTCGTTTTATCACGTAATGCATTATTAATCTGCGCAGTGAAATGAAACCTCCCACTGTAATCTTTCCTTTCTCTCCACAGAACCCGGTCACGGAGGAGACCGTGTGGGAGCAATACACCGTGACCCTGCAGAGGGTGAGTCCATCTGCCGCACAACACACGCACACAGCTCATCTAATTTACACTATTTACATTTTGGCCATAAACACAGGCTGTTAAACGCAGCGCTTCACAGAGAATGCATTTAAATTATTAGTTTGCAGTGTAAGACTTTGTAAGACAACAAAGCACGCCAAGGGTATAGTTAGAACAGACTTACTACATTCCTCTAAATCGGGACAGATTTGATTTATGCAATCCTGAAATCTGAGTCTTTTAATTATAATTTCTATAATTATGAAAAGCTTGCTTGGTTTATCAGTTGAGATCCTGAGCTCCCTGAAAAGTAAAAACTATTACAACTAGAGACTTGTGTCTTGCAAAAGGATCACTACACCATGGCCCAATTGGCACCAAGGCCCCCTACCTCATGCACCCTTGCTACAAGCACAACCCTCTTCAAACTTGGCTTTCATTTTCCGTTTTAATCTCAACTTCACACCTGTAGAATTCTGTGACCTCAGATTGGGCCAGGGACTTTAAGGGGGCGGGGGCAATGGCCTCTACTAGCCCCTTGCTTGGACCAAGGCAAGGCAAGTTTATTTACATAGCACCTTTCAACACAAGGCAATTCAAAGTGCTTTACAAAAATGAAAGACTTTAAGAAAATGGCATTTAAAAACAGTCATTAAAAAGCAACGATAAACATTAAAATAAAAATACATGGATAAAAGTCACAGTGCAGTTTAAGATATGAATATATCCATTAAAAGCAGCGGCAAAAAGAAAAGTCTTCAGCCTGGATTTAAAAGTAGTAAGAGTTGCAGCGGACCTGCAGGTTTCTGGGAGTTTGTTCCAGATATTTGGAGCATAATAACTGAACGCTGCTTCTCTATGTTTAGTTCTGACTCTGGGGACAGAAAGCTGACCGGTCCCTGAATACCTGAGAGATCTGGATGGTTCATAATTTAGCAGGAGGTCAGAAATGTATTTTGGGCCTAAACCATTCAAAGCTTTATAAACCAGCAGCAGTATTTTTGAAATCTATTCTTTGACACACAGGAAGCCAGTGTAAAGACTTCAGAACAGGAGTGATGTGATCCACTTTCTTAGTGTTAGTGAGGACTCCAGCAGCAGCGTTCTGAATTAGCTGCAGCTTTCTAATAGATTTTTTAGTGAGACCTGTGAAGACACCATTACAGTAGTCGAGTCTACTGAAGATAAAAGCATGGGCAAGTATTTCCAAAAAGCACACCTCTTACTGAAACAGAAAAATGCATTAATAAAGATTCCAAATAAATCAAAACAAAATAAACTTAAATGCGGCTCCTACAATGTCATTGAACAAAAAAGAAAGGTTGGCCCAACTTCAATCAAGACACATGTATTCCATTTCGATCCACTCATCTCAGAAATCACACTTATTCCCCGCCCCCAGTTACCACAAAAACACACAAAAAGTAGATCAGAGTTTTGTATTCCCTCACGCTCTCACAACATTTCCGTAACAAACAACCCTGGCAGCTACTGCTACATTCCTGAAGCTGCTGTTGAAACATCTGTGGACATGTTTCTTTTCCCAACTCGCCTCAGTTTGATGTTTAAGTTGGTCTGTCAGTTTTCCGTGCGGAGAAGCATAATCTTCCGGACTCTGAAGTTGACATTTTCTATAGCCTGGAGGAGCAGACGGCGAGGAACAGAGTATGGAAGGAACATTCACTTACCTGAGACTCAAGGTCAGCCGTTCATCTTTAGCCCTCAGCAGATCGCCCACTGAAAACGTGGCACTACCCAGGAAGCTGCTCTGTAGAACCAGACAGAGGAGAAAGAAGAAAGTTAAAATGGACCACAGTGTCTCAGCAGCAAGTTAAGAGTTAAATGAAAATGAAAAAAAGACTAGGGAACTCTTTCCTGCTTCTGCTAGAGGAGTTAAAAACAGGTAAATGTCAGACGATGTGTCAGGATTCACTTTGAGCCCTTGTGATCTGAAACAGCAAAAATGTAAGATCGTTTTGACACGAGACACAGTCAGGGACACAACATCCACTCTCCTTTCCTGTCTCTCCTTCACCCTCCTTCTCCCCTTTCTCACCGCTCTGACAACCTGTGTTTGCTGCAGGCCTGAAGTGAACAGGAGGTGTCAGCGCAGCAGAACTGGGTCATGGAGAGAGGAAGGGGACGAGCCCATCAATAACCAAGAGAGATGATCTTCATTCATAGGAAACACACACATGCACACACTCTCTCTCACACACAGTGAAGCCCTGCACCTGCATGTAACATCATTAACATAGCTTANAAGTACCCCTGACATGAGAGCCGCGCAAGTTTTCCTTTTGTAGCAAGCACCAAAATAATTGTAACATGACGTGTTTGAGTTAATTTGCCTACTTAATATGATATTAAGTAGGCAAATTAACTCAAACACGTCATGTTACAATTATTTTGGTGCTTGCTACAAAAGGAAAACTTGCGCGGCTCTCATGTCAGGGGTACTTGAGTGAGTGACATGCAGGCTCTGCATGCACAGCAAACCACCAATCACAATCAAATCTCCAAAGCAAACGGACCCGGTGATTAAAGGTAAAAACACTGAATACAGTCGTTTCATGTGTTTGTCCAGGGCAGTTCGGCGCTGCTAACCGAGCTAGCTCAGCTTGTTGCTCTGGTAACTTAAGATCCAGACGTCCGTGACTAAAATCCTTCATCCGGTTAAATATAGTTAGAAAAATACCATTTGTATAACATTAAAGTTCAAGAAAGGATGGTTTGCGGGGGAAAAAAACTGTCTTTTCTTCAATTGCTGTATGTTTTCATATCGCAATATATATCGCAGGGGGGGAAAAAAATCGCAATGTCAGTTTTTTCCAATATCGTGCAGCCCTAATTCATACAAATAAATGACCTGTGACTGATTCACAAGTGGAGGGTCAGAAGTCCCAATTGGGTCTCAAGATGAATCATAAAGGTCACCAAAATGATTAAGGAACACATTTGAGCCGTACACATTCGATTGAGTTTGATCAGACTTGACATTAATCCAAGCTTTTTCTCTTGTTAATAAATGGCGGATTTGACCTCTTCGGGCGTTTGAATAATTTAATTTAAAGCAGGGGGGAAATGCAACCAGTAAAGGGCATTTACAAAAGGCCATTCTTTCGTGTTGCTCCCCTGCTTTAGGGGTTGTTGAAAATCATTCCAGAACATTTGGAAAGCTATTCACTGTATACACGGTATAATCAAAGTAAAGTGAGAACAGAATAATAAGAAATAAACACACAGATATGACTTTAATTCATCGATGTGCTGCTAATGACAAAAGATTATTCAAGCTCAGCAGTTCAGACATCTGTACTGTGCTAAATAATGACAAGTAACATATTTAAAATCTCCCCCACACAAACAGACACACACACAGTTATCATGGCCTGAAGAGCGTCTGCTGGGGAAGTGTTGGAGCAGAAATGTGTTACAGTGCGCAGTCGACGATGCACGCGTAACTAAGACTGACATGCAGAGGAAAGTCTGTTTGCCTGTTGGTTCATACAGTGAGAACACATTTCAAAGATGAGCAGCTTTTCATGAGCATGTATGATTCATCCTGGGCTGTTTGATCTGTGGACGAGCCTCTGATTCACAGTTCACATTAGTTCTGCTGGCCGGGCAGCTCCACTGCAGCTCTGACTGTAATTCATTCTCTAAGAGCAGATACTTCATTTCACTACCATGTTTTGATGCCCACTAGGGTTGGGTGTCATTTGGATTTGAACAATTCTGGTTATGATTTCGTTTCTGCGATTCCATTTCGTAACAGTTCTGGATTTCATTATTTTGAGGGTTAACATGCTTTTTTCAAAGGAAACAAAAAAATATATATAAAAACCTTTAAATAGATTAATGTTCATACTCACAATTTGCTTCATAATGTTTGTGGAACCTGTATATGGATAGATTTGATTTGGTTATTGATATTATATTATCAGATTGAATAATTATCTGTTCATTTCATCTTCATTCACAACTTAGTTAAGATGAGTGTCGCTTACTGATCGGTACCAGAAATGTAATTATTTGTGAAGCTCTACCAAGTCCCAAGAGCACGCAAATGTGCGTGTTTAGAAACGGAACTGAAATTATCTTCTTTTTTTGGGTTATCCGGTACCTGGCATTTGGGATTCTTATTTGTAACAAAGTTTTGCTTCCTGACTCTAATCCTCACTTCGGTTAGTTGTTGCAGAAAGTTGGTTACTTTGAGTTCACTTTGCTCAGCAGAGGGAAAGAGGGACTGCTTTTATCTCCACTACACAAGAAACTATTCCCTTTGCTGAACTCAAAAACCAATCCGACTTTGGCCAGCTTCTCTTCATAGGCTCCAGATTGTCGTTGCTGCTGAGCATATGCAGAGGAAATTGGTGTTTGACCAGCACCTGTGTGTGTGTGTGTGTGTGTGTGTGTGTGTGTGTGTGTGTGTGTGTGTGTGTGTGTGTGTGTGTGTGTGTGTGTGTGTGTGTGTGTGTGTGACGTTGGGCCTTCAGTAAAGTTCACTCTGCTGCAGGGCCGACCATCTCCAGCTCATTCCTTATTCCCTGGATTTCTTCCTGCATTTCCGCTCGTCTCTCAGGTCGCGCGCTCACTTTCATGTGTGGCTGTTTAGGATGTTAGTCACGGATTGTTTTGGTTTCCTGTAAGACCGAGGCGACTGGTTAGATTTGGGTCCCCTTTTTTTTAAGGTTGCTGACAGTGTCACGTTGAATGAGTGAGAGGTTCGGTTACATGGACCTTTTGAAAAGACGGTCTCTATTTTAGACACTATATTCCATTGAAGTATTAATGAGAACATTTGATCTTTCTGCCGCTCTCAAAGAGCAGGAAGGTGTTCCTCATAGAAACAGAAGCAGTGCTTTTATACAACACTCCGATTAACAACAGCAAAAAGACGGAGATTGTGTTGTTTCTTTGAAGTCTCGACCTTTTAGTTATCAAAGAGCAGAGAACTGATTTAAAGGGAATTATTGATGTTTAATTTGGTCAGCACACAA